CATGAAGCCCTCCAGGGTTTCCCTGCAGCCTAAACTAGACATGGGGCACACACCTATAAAACCAGCACTCAGGGGGAAAAGCAGGAAAATCACAAATTCAAAGGCATCCTCGACTACATAGCAAATTCAAGGTCAGTCTAAGACGTAAGATCTTGTCTCAGAAAGAAAGAATGAGGGGAGAGAAGAAAATGATACCGATTTACTAATTTATACTCACAACATTAGTATGGAAACGCCTGACTGAATTGTTTGACTCCCATATTTTAAACTATTTGCTGAACTGAATAAAACGTTTATCTTCCTGTTTCCATGTATACATTGGTTATAAGTGAGATGGTTGTTTTTATTTTTTCACATTTACTAATCTTTAAGGTTTCCTTTAATTGTTGTCCCAAAGCCAATTCCAAATTATCTCAGACAGACTTGTTCCTCTGAATCCTGATTTGAAATCTTGCTGAAAGTGTATTGTTGTTATTCTTAAGTATTTTAAGCATAATTCTCTTGCTTCCTGTGTTTCTGGTGACTTTTTGCCTATTAGTAGAGCATGAATAATGCTCCATGCTTAATCAGATTTTGCTTGTAACAGAAACTGTGTTTATCAAGTTAGCTCAAGGGAATTCTCGGAGAGCAGGGCTAAGGTTTGGAGAGGCTTCAGCAGCTCTCGACCCTGACAGACTTGGCTCAGCACTGCACCCAGAGCAGTTAAGCCCCCTTTACCACGGTCCCCAACTACAGGGACATTGCCTGTTAGTCACCCATCTCTCCTACTCTTAATATTTTTGGTTATTATTTTATCCCTAGTATCTACATCTTGTCAAGCATAAAGGGCCACTCAGAAAATATTTACTGATCAAATGGATGAAACTTCTGATTAGAATAAAAAAATTGTTGAAAGGACGGAGGAGATGGTTCCGTCTGTGATGAGCGTGTTGCATGAACATGGAGCCCTGTGTTTGGATGTGTAGCACCAACATAAGGAACCAGGCTTGGTGGTAAGTACCATTAATCCCGGCACAGAGAGGTGGTGACAGGCAGATACCAGGGGCTTATTGCCCAGCTGTGAGCTCCAGGGTGAGAAAGCCATCTTATTTACAAAATAATA